GTTCGGTCCGGAAAATTTGAACGATCTCGCAACCACCATAAAATTTATGAAATAAACATAAATTATGCATCTTTCATTCTGGAATGAACACAAAGGGATTTAACTTGATAGTTATTGGACGAACATCATGATGTGTTTGTTGTGCAAATATAAGGTAGTGACAGTACTTACTTCTATTGTATTTTAAGTAAAGGTTTTTAATAATAGTTCAGTACAGTCTCCATCTATTGAGAGATAACTAAACTTCCAAGTATTTTTTCTCCATCTATTGAGAGATAACTGCACTTCCAAGTATTTTTTCTCCATCTATAGAGAGATAACTGAACTTCCAAGTATTTTTCCATATTATTTGTTTCTCCATCTATTGAAAATGTTGTTTTCTAATGTAGAGACTCAGTTAATTAAAGGGGCTTGTTTTTTATTATTCAGGTTTAAAATCGGAGGACAAGTCACAGGGAAGGTTACCTTTATAAACAGGCCACATTCCGTAAAGGAGCAACAAAAGTATTTAGGTTATACTTTTATGTTAAAATGGGTTCAGAATACATGCAATGACATAGTCATCGAGAACAAATCAACCTAATAACCCGAGCGAAGCCGGGGACTTTGGCTAGTGAAAAATAAAAACTAATTCTAATATATCATGGGAACTCATTAGATAAGCAGAGGTTATTTTATTTTTACATAAATACTCTTTTAAAATAAAACTAACTATATCTAGCAACCGGTTTGCCCAGTAGTAGGTGACCGTAAGTTAGATAACGAGTTTACTAGATTTGGTGGGGAGAAGTACTTAAGTCTTCGTTCACCCAGTATGATAACGTTTTTCAGTGTGCTTAATAAAGCATGTTTGTTTAGATTTTTCTTGAATAACCTACTGATCTATATAAAAAAAGTATTTATGACAATGTAGGGGTGCTTGCGTAGTTGTGTAGAAATGTTGTATTCGTAGTTTTGGGAACTCTGTATGCTTTTATGATTATTGAATTTTGTATTTTCTGTGGTTTATTTATTTGAGTTTTAGTTTCATTTAACCATCCAGGACAGGCATACTCTGCCACTTGACGTATATAGATTTTATATGTTTTCGGTTGTTGTGCCCCTGTGATTTCATTTACGTGTTTGGTCCAATTTAGTTTTGAACCATACAGGATGGGCAAAATGTCTGCCACCCACACTATATTTAAAGCTCATGTGATAATTCACTGTGGGGCTTTATCAAACATACTGTGGTAAAGAGCGATATGAAACAACTATAAACAAAGAATTATTACAATTTTCGCATAGGTCATCCTTAATATTCTAAGGAGGATATCACATTACACGTGGAGACGTATCATCCTGTCTTGAAAATAAAGGCCAACAGACAGACATTTCGGATTATTCATCAAACCTTTTCTTAGTCTGTGTCAATACATGCTATGTAAACATGTCAATATGCAATAAATTATTTCTTTAATTACACTGTCTTTATTTGAGAGAGGGGTCCTAGGCTTTTTGTTCACCCTGTAGATAAGACCCAAGAATTTGGATGATGTGGCTGCATAGAGATAGTTTCCATTAAGATATAATTTTGGGGCTGTCTGCTCTTTTTAATTGATTTTGTAAGTAATATAATTTTTGTTTTCGGAGTATTTATTTTGATTTTCCATGTGTTACAGTAGTACAAATTTTCTCTGGATCTGGTTTATGATTTGGTCGTGTTGTTGTGCGCGACGTGGGAGGATCAGATACTTTTCAGACCACTTCCTTCCTCCTTGACTGTTTTTTAACATATTTTTTATGTAAACTGGAAAACGTTATATTTAATACTTATGAAATCAGCGCACATCTCAATTTATACCATACTGTAGTATTTAGTTGTACTTTGTGATATCACTTCATTTGGTCGTTTAAGAGAAACTAACAAACAGTTCCATGAACAACTAGTCACTTTTTCGCTCGATCATATTATCAAACGCGCATTTGACATATAATAAACCCTTTTAAATACACTCATTCGTGCTTTTGTGTTTCGTAGACTTAGCACTATCCCAGCGGGGGACATACACTTATGATAATGTAATCCTAGCAATATATTAAATATTATTATTATTGTCTAGTGCAGGTGGAATTAATTGATATACATATTGAGTTGTGAGAGATACTTAGGACTATCATAATCATGTATGATATAACGATCTATAGAAGTTAATAAATCATTTTTATACATATTTTTATCGAAATACTTGAGCGAGCAATCTAAGAGCCTGTCACGGATTGATTGAATATTTTGATATTTATGCATGAAATCGAAATTTGTTGATCTGGGAACTCTAAAAGCTTTGGTAATTACTGAATTTTGTATTGTTTGTAATTTACTTGCATTTATTGGTGGAACATTTATCCATAGTGGAATTGTATATTCTATTACTGGACGTACATATAACTTATAAATTTTGATGATATTTTCTGGTGATGTACCATCATTATCACGATACAGTAGTACATCTGTTCTGGGTCGTTATTCGGTCATTGTGTGCAACCCGGGAAGGTCAGATTTTCAGTATACCTCTTCATCAATTTCTCCATGACTGTTATCTAATAATTTATCAAAGAATACAGATATTACTAGTAAAATCAGGTGTATAAGATGTGATACACTGGGTAAACACTGATTACACAGGCCTGCGAATTTAAACTTCATAAAAGTTGTTTTGGTTTTAATAACGGATTTTCCATAATTCAGCTAAGTAGATTTCTAAAATAATATTCATTTTCTATCACGTAAGGATTTTTTATAAATCGGGAAGAAGAAAAACTCTCACTTAGATCAAATTATTATTTCGCTTACCACAAAGAAATTTTTTTTATTATTATGTTTGTCAGCAAAAATACAAACAAACTGACGAAAAGGAAAGAACATTGATGTCAAACGAGTATGCATCCTCATTCATCCAGATTTTTTGTGTGAAATCTAGTCTTTTAGTCTCAAAACTACGTGTTGTGGTCTTTCTTTTATGTATTGCGTTATGACGTTTTGTGAAAAATCTGTACGTGATGGAGAAATATAGATATCAATTTCGGATTCAGCGTACAGGAATTATTGTGGAGTGTAGAACATGTAAAATTTCAAGACAATAAAATCATGGCAGGCCTGTGTTATTCTTCACTTTTTCATGGTCACGTCTTTGAATAGTATACTCGTAGCATTTAGTGCTAACTTGCTCTTCTCTTTACTTGATCACATACGCTCACAAACAGTTCATAATAGAGTATTTTGCTTCATTTGGTTGTATATGTTAGTAAATAGTTCAGTAGCAAAACGTCACTTGTTTCACATGATATAGCTACCAACAAGTATTGACATAAATGCCCTTTTAAATATACAAGTGAAATCTAAATCTTCTCGCTATCGGGCTTTAGTTCTTTGTAGATTTGGGAGGGTCAGGCACATTTGAACCTCTTTCTCCCCCTGGTACATGGGGGGGAGGGGATGATTCCAGAATGATATTAGTTTAAGCGCTGCAAGGGGATCAGAGTTTTACAGTAGTACAGTTTTGTGTTGTTAAGTCATTTCAAAATTTACGCCAATCTAAAAATCACAGTTAAACGACGATGACGTCAAAGGTGTGCCAATATTATGGAGGGGAGGAGAAGTTACAGTAAAACAATCAAGAAACGTTTCTGTTGTTGATGGATAGTTTTCAAGAATGGGGGTGTTAAGTTAGTTTTGTAGCCGCTGGCCGAACCATAACAAAAGTTCTTTTTTTAACAAATATAAGAATGAATGTTAATTTTTAAAATACCAATTTGCCTAACTACTTGATGGAATAATAAATCCTATAATCAGAAAGTAAACATAGTAGTACTCAGTAGTAGTAGTAGTACTGCTACTAGTACTAACGTTGGGTAATGTTGTCGTGTTGCTGATACAACTACTTATACTATAGTACTAAAAACTAGCAGTAGTTCACATTTGTTTTCAACGTGTAGATAACAATAACTATATATATACTACTAAATGCAACTACTAAATAGACTTAGTTGCTAGCACTAGTAGCGAGGCAAAGGGCCTTGGCGTAACATCTTTTCGTCATTGTTAGGCCTAATCGAGTTTCTTCAGTTTATATTATATATTACAACTAAGCAAAGAACTATCCGTAAGGCGTGGTCGAACACAGTGTTTATATTTTACATTGCAACTAGTCCTAGGTTATGGCGACAACTCGAATTCATGGATGGCATGAGTCGTCATCTACCGAGTCAGAAAGTTCCAATTCCCAGGTGAGATAATTTTAAATTATCGCTTTCACAATCCATTGAGTCGGTGGAAAACGATTCAAGTTGCAACCAACGTGCTAAATTAGTTTAGACTTTAGTGTTAATCAACTTATGGGTGGCTGTTCAGTATAATACTTTAATACTAATAGTATATTATTATTAGTAGTAGTACTACTACTCATGTTTATCACCAAAGCAATATAATAAATTAATATTTCTAAACAAGATGTTTAAATTGCAATGAGGGTTTTAGTTTTAGAAGACTTCATTTATTAAAATATTCACCAAGATTCTACCTTTAAATAATATACTGATATGAAACCAGACTTTGTGTTTTAAAGCAGATGTAAGTTAGTCTTATTTATGTTTGGAGAAAAATGCTTGAGTGATAAAAGTTAAAACTTGAAGATTTACAAAATCATAAATTTCATTGAAATCCTAAATAGTTTTATCAAAGAGAGATAGTACCTTATTAATCTGTTATCTCTTTTTGGAGTTACTTGTTATCTGGATGATGATAAAAGTATAGATATAGTAAACGTAAATTTTCAAAAATATTTTGATAAGGTTTTAACCGTGTCACAAAATCTCAGCTAAGAAAATAACACTAATAGGGTTTGGGGAAACTTCAGTTAATTGGATTTTAAGGTATATGGATGGGGGAAATCAAAAGGTTTAGTCCAACTGGATCCTTGTACCAATGGCATGTCTCAGGGTCATTGCTTGGGACTTTGCTTTTCTTTATTTACATTAATAATATTGGTATGGATCTATTTAGTAAACTGGTAAAGTTTATTGATTACATTAAACTCTTGGTATTTCTAGCTGTGTAAAGGAATGACTTTGTAAAAGTTGGACAGATATTTCACAAATGATCTTTAATTATAGTAAGTGCAAAGTAATGAATTTTGGTTATCATATATTTGGTTTAATGTAGATGAGAACCCACTCAATAGATAGCATTACTGAAGGAAAGGTTCAGGGCATAGAAAAAAGTTACTCAAACCATGAAAGCATTGCTCTGTGGCTAATTCTAAGAACCCATGAATGAAAGCAAAGGAGAATATGCTGTATTATAATATATCAACCACACTATACTTGGCATATCCAGTGTCAACGAAACTTTTCTCCTAGTACCGAGACTCATTATATACATTTCAATTTTCATGAACAACAACTGATATGGTGTGAACCAGATTAAGCCATTGAATTGTAATTATAATCAATTTTTATTTATGTCATTTACAAATCCAGTTTTTTAAGGTAAGAATCAATAACATACTTTATTTTCTTTTTTGAATAAATAAATCTATTAGAATTTTAGGGTGTATTTCTAGACATATTGATTAGAAGCCTCTATATGAATCACTAACTAGTTAGGCTTCTCTTGAAATATTGTGAATAGTTTTGGTTTGCTTATCTAAGCTTATTGTAAAGAGTTCAGAAGATGGCTGCTAGGATGATTCGTGCAATGGAAGGGTTATTTTGGAGAGGTACATTAAGATCTCTTATTTTCTCTTGATAGAAGAATAATGGTTAAAAGGTAATCTTTTTAAAGGTTACTAGATTGTTTAGAGGGTCGACAGGATAAAAGACTTCTGATTTCTTTGTGCCTTATTTTGAAGATGTTAGAGGAATTTAAAAGGGAACTTGATTTCCTGGAAAGTAAAGGGTGGTTTTAAATTTTTATTTAAGGGTGGATGTGCGAGGATAATCATCAAGAATCGGTTTGTTCCTATATGTTGTTTGTATACCATTGGACAGTTCTTTTAACTGTGCAGTAATGTATGACATGCGATCTTTCATTGTTGTTAAATTTTATATATAATGATGCCATTCTTATACTGAGACACCATTGTTATTAATATTATGCACTTAAGTTTCTGATATCATGAAAAAGTATACTATATATTCTCGCAGACATGAGATGAAAATATATCCAAATGTTAAAGGTATATATATATATATATATATATATATATATATACTAGTTACTTTATTAGTATTAGTA